GGTCTCAACCGCAGAGCCGGGTTTAAATGAGCCGGGTTTAAATCTGACCCGCATGAAAAAAATACAATTTTTTCAAACCAACCAGGCTCGAACCCGTGGTAGGCTGGGTTGGCCCGCGAGTTGTGACCTATTTTGATAGCTCTTGCAGCGAGAGGAAAACTCGATGGGTTTCGAAACGCAGGAGCGTCACAATGCAAATATTTTTCGTGGTTGTTTGTCTGTGATTTGGTTTCTTTAGTTTCTTTCTACTTGCAGGTTCGAAGAGCAACTTCAACGATGGCTGGAGAAGTGATGAAAATTGTTGGAGAATGACGCTTTTGCGGACAGGATTATGCTCCATTTGAGCTTTTTCGTTCTCGTATTTCCTTTTGCGGTGAAGACTTGACAGAGGAGATGAGCTCGCACATGGCTCATTGTCTCGTTGCGGCGATCATGGTTGTCGCGACAAAAATGTTGATGGCGATTTATGGTAGAGGAAGGGGAACATGGTGTGTTTATGGGTGAGTGCCGGGGACAGAGAAGATGAACAGGTGGATGGGGGGCCGACCCATCTGGTTAGGGTTTCGAATGTTTGATGACAGAGGTGTGAAGATGGTGACTGACCGTGAGCATGGCGACTGACAGTTTAGGGTTAGGTGGTGACTAGGATTTTTGAATGAGTATAGGGAAAAATTAAAATGTCTAAAGATAAAAGATGATAATGACATCTCAAAGATTATGTGTTAGTGATTGCATGAACATTTAACCGATTTAAACTGTGTTTAAAGATAAACTTAATTAAAAACAAATTACCACAAATTACGAATTTTAAGACTAAATTAAACATTTAAAAAAAATTAGAATCAATGAAAAAAATCGGGACCACGGTATTAAGCCAACCGTTAATGAGGTTGGTTTAGCACCGAGTAAGATTTTGAATCCACAGCTAGGATCATTGGAAAGTGGAACTCCATTTTCGCTTTGAAGTTCGAACCTTGTGGCTACGCAGGCTTCGTCTTAGGCTCTGCTATGTACTCGCATTCGCCGAACTACCGTTCAAAATGCAGAGCTCCTGCACTTGTCATCATCTTCCTCATGTGTTCCCTCTCCTTCACTAACGTCAATTCCCAGGTTCCCTTTCTCTTTTTCATTTTCCTTTCAAACGAAGAGATCCGTGCGAATTCACTCTGAATTGAACTGAATTTGGCAGGTTTCAGAAGCATGTTCGGCCGCTACGGATTGTGGGGCAGGTCTCTTCTGTGGCAATTGCCCCGCTTTGGGCTTGAAGCAACCCATCTGCACCAGAGGCCAACCCACCCTTCCAACACCCATCGTAAGCTTCTTCCTTTTCCCTTCGAGCTTCTCCAACCCCAATTTTTGTGACTTTCCCCTCTGGGTCACTGCAGGTCAATGGGTTGCCCTTCAACAAGTACACTTGGATTGTGACCCACAATTCCTTCAGCATCGTCGATGCACCGCCTCTTCCCGGTGTTCAGAGGATGACCTTTTACAATCAAGAAGACTCTGTCACTAACCAGTTGAGGGTATGTCAAGTGGAGAGTTTGCTTGCTTTTCTTAATTTTTTGTTTGGTTTCGGTAGTTTAATTGCTTTGTTATGTTTCTTATACGCTTGTTTTGTTGATGGTTTAGAATGGAGTAAGGGGACTTATGTTGGATATGTACGACTTCCAGAACAATATCTGGCTCTGTCATTCATTTCGTGGGCAATGCTACAACTTCACTGCATTTGTAATTTATTCCTCTTTTTTACTTATTTACTGATTCTACTTTAAGGTTTTAATTGCGGTCATGGTTGTGTCACGATTCTTGATGATGGGACATGGCTTAATATTCCTATTAAAATGTTCTCAGCAACCGGCTGTTAATACTTTGAAAGAAGTGGAGGCGTTCTTGACAGAAAATCCAACTGAGATCGTTACCATCATAATTGAAGACTATGTGCACACTCCAAAGGGGTTGACTAATCTGTTCACAAGTGCTGGATTGGACAAATATTGGTTTCCAGTCTCCAAGATGCCGAAAAAGGGTAACGATTGGCCCACTTTGACGGAGATGGTTCAAGCAAATCACAGACTTGTTGTTTTCACTTCAGATGCTTCAAAGGAAGCAGATGAAGGAGTAGCTTATCAGTGGAGGCATATGGTCGAAAATGAGCGTAAGCACTATATCATTTAATTATCTAAACATGTGTGCATCTTCTTTGTACATGATTTGTTTCGACTAACTCGTAATTCGCTTGCCATCAGCTGGCGATCCTGGAGTGGAACAGGGTTCTTGTCCACACAGAAAAGAATCAAAGGCATTAAATTCTAGAAGTCAATCACTTTTCCTGATGAATTACTTTCCAACCTATCCAGTTGAAGCTGACTCATGCAAAGAGCATTCAGCTCCACTTGCTGAGATGGTCAATACTTGTTACAAAGCTGCGGGGAATTTGCTGCCCAACTTTGTAGCGGTTAATTTTTACATGGTATTCCTTACTCTGTTCTGGGTTGTTAATTGGAACTTAATTATTAATCTGTATACATCATATATCTTGCAATTCCACTTTAGCTTTCTGACTGAAACTTCATGCAGAGGAGTGATGGAGGTGGTGTTTTTGATATTGTGGATAAAATGAATGGCCATTCATTGTGTGGATGTAGTACAATCACAGCCTGCCTGGTTTGTCTGCTTTTCTTGTCCCTACATGTACTTTATTTTATTTCATTTGTTCCTGAATCTTCTGTATTCTGATATTCTTTATTTCTGTAAATGTTTGTTGTAATTATGAAATTTTGCATAGAGCGATGAAAAGAGAATGAATCACTAATTCATATTTATTAAGATGTATTGCACTGTATTGATGTTTGGTATATTCACAAAACTTAAACCACTAACTCCTATTTATACTAATCCTAATCCTAATTAATTAGGAAAACAAGTTAAGATAAGGAATTAGGATTACCAATCCTAAAAGATAACGTGGAAATAGGGAAACTGTTCCTGGAGAAACAATCTTCGATATGATAACTTGTTTTCATATATTTTGGGAGTGTTCATTCCCCCACTAGTGATTAGAAAGCTAATTGAGTATAATTTTACATCTATCTCCCTCTAGAAAACCTCTGGAATTTCATCTAAGTTACAAATTTCAATTCATTTATTTTAAAATATTGACCACATGAACAGTAGACGAGACTTTCAGATGATACTCTTTGAAGCCTGAATATGTATCTGATGGACGTCACGTTGATTTAATTTTTCCTACCGAATATAGAATTAGACCAATGGTCAGTTAGTGACCATATTTAAAATTTCTCAACATCTTTTCAAATATAACCATGCTTTTTGTATAATATCTTGAAAACGACAATAATTCTAGAAAAGTTGATCTTGACTTGGATGATGAAAAGAATGGTTTAGTCCCTTGTGTTGGAGGTTTTATGGTAGAAAAAAGGTTGAATTTCATTATATCTCAAAAAATTTTAAAGTTATTGGACTATTTAACAATGAGAAAACTAGGTAATTTTCCATGTTCACTCTGTCCCAAATATGCTTAATCTAATTCAAATATTTGTTGCAAAATTATTGATTTGTAAAGATCAATATAAACTTAAAATAAACAGATCTACACTAGTAATAGCATCCCCATTTCCTTTCCCCGCCGTGACTTACTCTTCTCCAATATCTTCCCAACCATTTGTTCTTAACTGTATGCTTCTGCCTTATGTCAATTTATGTGAAATCTTGTAACAATATGTACGCCAGAGTAGATTAAGACATAGTCATCATGTGTACTCAGCTCTTGGAAGTTTAGTTGTGTACTTGTGTTGTATTTAAATGAAATTGATGAATACATGGCTTGGATGAATTTCTGTCTTGGCACTGCCTCTACCTGTACAGTTTGATGAAAAAGCAATTTCTGATAATGACAATGACTTTCTTACTTCAATTTGGCAGGCAGGTGCACCCTTTGGGTCTTGCAAGAATATCTCTGTTCCTAGTACAAGTCCAGCGACTAATACTGCTGGAAGCTTTACCGGATCTGTTCAATTCTCTAAATCAGCTGCATCGGTCCATCGTCCAAATCGTTTATTTCTTGTCACCTTTTACTTTCTACAAAGTCTTGTTGCAGCTGTGATGACTAAGCACTGTTGTATGATATATTTAAGCTAGTCTTTCAAGAGGATCTCTAGTATCTTGGCATGTACACGGCAGTATTATCATGAGCTATGAAGTGTCATGGAACTATTGCTAGGTTAGAAAAAATAGATATAGACAAATTTCTTGCTGAGGCTACGTTCAAGGATCAGTGAAAACGTTTGAGTTGATAGTCATGAGAGACCAAGAATATTTCTGGAGCTATAAGTAGTTCAGGTATGTTATTTCTTGGATGTACAAATCCAATTCTACATATTGCGACTCTAGATGCATACAGTATCTCTTTTTTTTTCTCTCATTGCACATATCTGTTTTCAAATCTGCAATAGTTATAGTAGGCAAAATTACTTTCCAGATACTGATGTTAATAAGGTATTGGATGCGTGATTAGATGCTTAGTTTTATGAAATTTAATTCATTTGAGTGTTAAAGATGCTACAAATTGTTGAAGTTAAAGAGCATCTAAAATAAGCACTGCCACCAATCTTCACATTCAAGTTTGTTTGGACAATCATTCTTTACTGTTTTTTATTCTGGCTGCTATATAAGTTGATAGCTTTTTCTCTGATTGAGTGAGTTTGTGTGCTTCATAAGCTTAAAATGCGAGAGCGACTAGTTTATGTGCCCAAAGGTTTGGGGAATTTTTTTTCTTACTGATTTGGAAGCTTAGTGGAAGAATTGCTTTATGGCATATATGAAGTATGTATTGATCCATTACAATCATTGTCGTTGTGGCTTACTAGAGTTGATTTTAAACCCTAGCCTGCTAAGTCTTTTAATGGGTAGTGGAAGAACTGATTGACAATCAGTGAATGTATGTTTTCATGATTATGCACAAGGTGACGTGACCATTGTTATGCATGAAATTGTGCAATTACGCCGTTTTCCCCTTTTATCCTGTTCGCGTATATTGGTTGATTGAACACGTATAGTAAATGCATTTGGTCAAGATGGAAAATGTTACTTTGAAAAACAACATTCAAGAATTTACTGTCTTATTGACAAAATATATCTTCAGATTGTTCATGTCAACAACATATTTTATAGCCGTGTCCTTTCTGGGATAAAGTTCCTATCCCTGGATCCCCAAATGGTTTGTTCTAGTTTTACAGAACTTTTCCTCCTTTTCTGAATAATACCTTTGCATTTTTGTTTGTTGCTACATGGTAATGTTGACCCTTAAATATTATATTTTATTGTTTTTTACATGGTCTGTTAGCAGCTTCGTAGAAGTTTAGTCCTCCTAAACTTTCATTAAAGTCATGATAACACCAGACATGTATGGCTATTTTTCCTGAATTAAATTTTTTAAGGCAAACTGTCGTTTGAGTAAGAAAATTTGCTCTAGCAAGATGTTGTCACTCTCATTGCTAGAAACTTGGATCAAATAATTGCATCTCTTTATATAAAGAGTTCTTTTAGGAATCTATTTTCCCTGAAGATTTTCCTTTTGATGAATTGTTTAGTGCCAGTAATTTTTATATGTAAATATATATGATATAATTTTTTTCTTCGGTAGTGCCTTGTTATTATGATAATAACGGTATGTTTAAATAAACCTTTTCCTAAATATACCAGAAAATAACAGGAAAAATGAAATATAAATTTTTTTATGAATAAACTATGTGGTAGTATTTTTTTTTAATATCAGTTTTTAAAAAAGATGATTTCTTACTTATTTAATATAAGTTAGTTTTAGCTTATGAGATTTTTTCTTTTCTTATTTTTATTGTTGTATAGATACATGTGGAGAAGTTTATTGAAATACTTTTGAGTTTATTTTTTCACTATCTTACCATTGAAATATTCAGTTTGGGTTTCTTGATACCGTTCTGAAGCTATGGATAGTGATGATGATATGTGTAGGCGTCGTTTTCCTGAATACCTGTGATGGTGATTGTGATGTTGATATTTAAAACAGTTGGTGCTGTGTCTTTCACTAAGTAAACTTTTTGTGACTCTGTAGTTTTAAACAAATTTAATGCTACTGTAGTTTTTATTTTATTTGTTTATTTATCTCTGATGGTTCCTTTGCTTTGATCAATTGTTATTCTTCAAATGCTTTATATGTTGCTGAGATAGTTATGATTAACATTGTTAGAATTGCGTTAAATTTTGATAATCTATTAAAACCGAATTTTCTTCTGATATAAATTTCAGGCTTTGTATTAAAAAATTATTAGTGAACAACAAATCAGAATAGAACGGGTGGAAGCTCCCCATCCTTGTTAAGGTTTGTATTTATAAATGTATCCAATTATTCATATGTCCTGTATTTCCTTCCCACTACACGGTCTTCACTCTTGCATTGATGTTGTTATAGATATTTTTCCAAATTACTATGTCTATAATAGAAATGGAACACGGACAATTTAGTTTGACAGAGAAATTTGCATGTGATATGCATTGTTTTTAACGACGAGTTTTTTTTGTTGTTGCTCTTATCCCTTATTTACTGTATTCAATGAAAAAATGCCTACTCCTATTAAAAAAAGGAAAATGTTTTTTAATAACTTTTTTTTTGACAATTTTTTATAAATACTTTTTTAAAAATAAATTCAACCAGAGTAATGATATATTACGTAATTTATTGTCAAAAGTTAATTATTATAAAAAGTTGTTAACATATTAAAAGTTGAAAATTTTATTTTCAAAATGTTAGTTGTTATAAAATGTTGTCAAGTTGAAAAATGTGGGTACTGTCTCTATTTTATTAACTTTTTGAGAACTGTATTACTATTTTATTTATCTATGTATATTTGAAATGAATCCATTACAAATGATCATATAAGTTGTTGTAAAATAAATTACCATATAAGTTGTTGTGAAAAAATTATTAATAAAAATTGTTAAAAATATATTTTTCTTGATTGTAGAAATGTGAGTTGTCGGATTGCTTCAATTGGTTGTAATTATGTGAGTTGTCGGATAGGAAGAGATGTGTCCAAGTATTTTACATTGATTAATATTATATTTTCATATAAATGTTTTCAATATTTCACAAAAACATTAACAAAAAAGTAATTACACGTCATGCCTTGAAAGTAGGAAAAAGAATATAAATGTTTACTATATATATAGTAAGAGGATTAATGACATAATAATATGAGATTTAGAATTATTCTCTTACATATTTTAAATTTACAGTAAAAAAGAAATAAACTGTGAATCTTCACAATGATCCTCACAATCAATTAACTATATCTTACATCAATTAATTTGTATAAACATGATATTACAACAAATTTAATTTCATAAATATGTATATATTATTTCATATTTTATTTAACAAATTTGATTATAGATGCACTCATATCATTACATTAGATTAATATTTAAACTTTCAGTTTTTATAGCAAATAACTTACTATTTTATTTAATAAAATCTTAATATCACCTACATTTAATAATTTATTTAAATTGTTGTTAGATAAGTCTTAAATATTATTAATGTTAATTATTTTTATTAATTAAATGTCTTGATGACGAGTGAAACATGCGTTTCTTTTTTCTTGTTAATGGTGATAGTGATTTTAGTTTATATGATTTTTGGTGGATATTTTTTATCATTCTTTTTGTAATGTTTGTATTGATGTTTATAAATTATTCAACAATGAGTTGGATTTTCAATTATATGAATTCGAATGTTATTTCTTTTATTTCCTAAGTTCAAGGCACACACTAAACTTATTTCATCCCCTAAAATTACTAACTTTTGTTTTAAAATTATTACAAAAATTTTATCTACTATATAATTGTTGTGATTGCTAGTAGGATTGTTTCTATTAATAAAAATGGTTTCACTAAAAACATAAATATTAAAGATCATATTTATGTTACTTGTGTTAAAGATCATGTTTGTGTTATTTTTGAAGTTATTAATCTTTTTTCTGAAAAGGTCGAAGGTGGTAAGGTAGTTATCAAAATTGATATAATCAAAACTTTTGATACAATCAATTGACATTTCTTAATTCAAGTTTTGCGTTGTTTTGATTTTTATGAAAACTTTTTGACATAGTTTTTTCATATTTTACAATATGTTCATCTTTCTATTCGAGTTAATGGTGGTTTGACCAATCACTTCACTTGTGGCAAAGTGGTTACATAGTTTTATGAATGAGTAGTGTATTATGATATATTTATATTTGATTTATAAAACTCTTTTTGCATATTAGTTTACCCTGCTTGTTTTTTGTGGTGTGTTCTTGTGTCTATGTTATCTCTTTTATAATGATCACCTTGTTAGTATGAGCATATTAGGATATATGTTGAAGCATCTTTGGTGAAAGACGGTGATGAAGCGACGTTTACTCCTTGGTTGTCTAGTAGTTACCATAGTCGTTTTATATATATTTTATTAATTACAGTTATTTAGTTTTGATAATTGTATTAATACTATATATTATATGTTGAGACAATATGTTTTGTTTAACCAATTTTAACTCCTTTTTTATTATTTGTAATCTGATAAAACAATGTGTGATGTTATAGAAATAATCATTTTTGTGAACCCTAAAGCATGGCACACTTGATTGAAACTCTTGGTCATAAGTTTTGAGTGAAGGTTGTTCTTATCTGAAAAAGAGGATTTTGAATGAGTGAACCATCATATGCATTGGTTAGATTCATTTACATCTTATTTTGCTTGAGGACAAGCAAAGTTTTAAGGTTGGGTTGTGATAACAGTTGAACAACTGTTATTTTCATGCTTAACATTGATACTAAAAGTACAACCTTTTATACTTAGAAACTAGGCTTGAAATCAATGCTTTTCTTTCAATTGCAGAAATAAGAGAGCTGGACAGGTTTATGCTTGATTTCCTGTTTTTGGTGTGTGTCAGGTTTTTATTAAAGGTGATTTGTGGTGAAAGAAGGAAGACGGAGAGAGAATGAAATCAGAAAATACATCAAAAGGTGCAAAGGAGAAGCCGAAAGTCACCGCCTCACGGCAGTCTTATACACCGCTGAGCGGCACTCCGGAACCCCGGAGGTCCGCTGATGGGCAAAATGGCCGCTGAGGGAAAAAACTTCTCCTCACTTACCACTGAGCGTAGTTTACCGCTGAGCGGCACTTTAATGGCTTGGACTAATTTTCTGTATTTACGATACTATATCAAGCTTTAGGGTTTCCTAGGGTTTGTATCTTTGGCTGGAACGAAGCAAACACATCTCTCTTCCACACCTTTGAAGGAGGAATCTTGGATGCTGAGGCTTCCTCTCACTTTTTAGGGTTTATCCTTTCATTCTTTCATTGTCAATTCATCTAGTTCACACCATGAATATGTGAACTAACTCTGTTGTTGTTGGGGAATCAAGGTAATCTTGTGAAGTCATCTATATGGAATCTGTTTTTACATCTTTTAATTAAGACTTAATGCTTTCTTTTCATCATGTTAGGGTTTTTTTCCAATCTTTGCATACTGCTTGCATTGTTAATAACTCATTCGATGCATGATTATTGGTTGTTGTCATACGGTCACGTCGGGAAGTCAGACCGGGGAATTTCTCCCATATGAATATTGGTTGTCGTTAAGCTTCTGCACTTATGAACTGATCAGAGGATGCTAGGAAATTTGTAAATGAACTCGTGATTAGGGAGAAGCCTTCTAGAAGGTACTTTAGAGAGTGGCATTACCATGATGATTTTGAATGTTAATTCCTAAAATATAATGAAGTGGACAAGATGAAATTGACCCCCAAACCCAACAACATATTCATACTTAATTCATTGAAAAGTGTTTTTCTTACTGCTTTTGCCATTGATCAAAACTTCGATGCATAACATGTTTTAGTTTCTGTCTTGATATTAAACCCAAATATTTCTTCTTTAAGTCTTAGCGCTCAGAAAAACCACACAACTAACAGGCCGTGAGTCCTTTGGGAAGAACGATACTTGGTCTTACAAGTTTTATTTACTTGAACGATTCGGTCACACTTGCCGATTGAAAAACGAGTTTGTGACATCATAATTTGGTGTTCATAAATTTGTCCATCACAGTGCCCACCTCAATCATTTTCATTGGTGTTTGTGTATATCTTCCTACTATGTGCCCGATACAATTATTCTGGTTATTAACATAGATTTTTATTGTAATTTCATAAAGTGAATGATTCGTATACTTTTTAAACTCAACTTTTTTTTCCTCTAAGTTCATGAAGTTGTCAAGCAACTTGGATCTCTAGTCCTTCAGGGATCAGAGTGAGATCCATTTTGTGATGACAATTGTATGTCTCCTACAATTGGTGGGTGGATGCAGATAAGTTATTCTTAATTAGTTTGATCTCCAAAATTCGGCATTTGTGCCAAATATATGCTTATAATATATTTTGGTTGGCATTTTTGTTTGTTCATTTTCTTAAGCATGGTATGTTTTCATGTATTTTATTGTTGATAAGGTCAGAGGGGTACAACTGGAAATATCTTGCAAAATGTTTGGTGAATGGTGCTTGCTCTGACATCTGAGCAAGATACTCACATTTTCATTTACTAGGGTTTGGGCTTAACTACAATGCTTTCGGATACCCTTTCCATCCTACCAAGGAATATAAAGATGCCTGAGCAGGAGCGTAAACAACCTACTAACGGCGCAAGATACCTTGATGCTCCTTTCTTTCCTGTCTACACCCATTGCCAATGTTTGTGGGCAATGTGACACCCTTCCAACCCATAGAATTTCAAGACATGCCTGAGCACAATTTTATTCTACCATCTTTTTATATTATCAATTGCTTGTTTTACCTCTTAATTAGTTTCCATATACTACAAAAATAGCGTAGAAAACCGTGGAAGTTGTATTTTTGAATTGAAGTTGGGATATCTGAGGACTGTTATTAGTGAAACATTTGTATATAGCATTGAGATTATTCACGTTTCATCTAAGCTGATCCTTCAAACATAAAAAATCATAACTACTTTCCAAGCATCCACAATGTTTTTTTATACCATGCCTCGTCAAATTCATCCTTTTTTTTCTGACTACTGTTTCTAAATGTTGTTTCTTTGAAATGTTTCATCAGAACGGAAAAATGGTTATTGGCATGTGCCGCTAGCCACCGTCACGCAAGTGAGTCCTTCGATATGTGGCTCTGCGTTCCCGGCAAGTGTCATGGATGCTTCTCTACTGTTTCCAATGGTGTAAGTAGCTGCTTGGATTCCCCAAGTCGATTGAAAACCTGCCACGTCCATCCGTGGTAAAAGAAAATGAGGGTCTCCCCTTCATGCAAATCTTTTCTGGCAGGCTTTGGCCGTTAGTTTGAACTTGTCTTTTCTTTTACCACTGATGGAAGTTGGCATGTTTTCATCGACTTGGGAATCCAAGCAGCTCACTTACAACCATTGGAAACCGTAGCGACAACATCATGACCAACTTGGCCGGGTAATGC